GGCAGCAGAGACCCCCCAGGGCACAGAACAGAGCAAGCATCAATGGCAATCAGAAAAAGACATTAATTATTTAGAACATAAAAAGGAGGAGCTGGGGTGGAGGTGGGTTGCAAAGAGGTTTGTAGAGGAAGCAGCAAAGATAGGCAGGCTAAAGCAGCTTAAATAGGGCGCCATGAATTGTGTTTGCCAATTGGATGCTTGAGGGAATCAGCTGAGCTGTCAGCTGACTGTGTATGGTTTCCAATTGGAAGCTTAGGAGGAATCTGCTGAGCCATCAGCTGATGTGTGTTTACAATTAGCTGTGATCAGCTGATATATCTGGAATTGAGAGCTGAGTCTGACTTTGTGGCCTGCCTGAACGCTATGCTCAATTTTTGAGTGGAACTGTTGTAATCGGATGCGTCATCAACAAAGGGCATCCTGTAACGATATAACAGAGCAGTTTTGGTTACTGAAGAAAACCTGCTTTGTTTTGGTCCAGCTGGGAACCAGCTTTTTAGGTTCTGAACCAATTCAAAACTAGGTGCACAAATGGTAACAGAATCGGGTCCCTATAGATAGAAAACGGCTAGCAGCTAAAATACCCCTTCTCAGTGATGCCTCAGGTTTCATTCCTGCTGTTATAATATGAACACAACACAAAAGAGAGACTCTATCAATACAAATAACTGAGGTAATCGAGAGGATTTGTTAAAGGCTCTATCTGTTGTGGGTTATCCTTTTTACAGAGGTTGGCTACCATTTGCAACCTGAGTTAGCAAACGTAATAGCTACCATTTGTTACCATTAACTTCAACTGTAGAGCCTGAACTTGTCTTATTTAAAGTATGCACCTCAGTAAACTTGGTATATTTGAAGATCAATACTGATTGATTGAGCACTAAAAAGAAGCTGTTTTCCCACTAATTCACACTAATTGGTAGACAGCTAAATGAAACAAATTGTTGTTTTCATTATCACTGATGACTCATTAATCGTTTAGTCTCCTTAAACGGCTTGAAATATAAAAACAATTCAAATCAGTTTTTAACATTTTTCGGGAAACCAGAAGGAAGCAGACATGTTAGTCACCTCTTGCTGGAAATGAACTGCTAGCTGATTTGATCTAATCAGAGCAGCCATAATTGCCATTGGTTTTCCTGTGTTTTTTCCTCCTCCTTAGGTTTTATACCACATTCTTTCTTCAACTTTCAGTGTCTCTTTCCCTCGTTCATGCACAAGCACACACAAAATACTCTTCTGTATGCAGTTTTTGTGTTTTCACTGATTCTTCATTAATCCATAATCCAAATCTGGGATTCAAACTGAAATTGAACCATAGCCTTTTCTTTTCCTGTTTTTGTCTTATATGTAAAAATCCTGTCTGTAGCTTTTAAAAGAGGTAGCATATTTTAGTGGATAAATGAATGAATTGTCCTCAGATGACTGTGTTTAAATCTCACAGGCTTGGATTTGTTTTTGTGACCTTACTCTAACTTCATGGGAGGTTTCTGTCTTTGTATCCTCATTGCATCATGTCAGTCCAGTCATTCTCTGGATGCAGCCCGGCCCCCTTTAATGTTTGACCTGTGTTACACTGTGAGCTACACGTGACTCCAGCTGCACATTTCTTGGCTGGCAATGATATGATAAATGAACGCAAACACAGCTCGTAACACTGATCCTTCAGGTGAGAAAGGATTCGAGTTGGAAGGGGTTGATGGGGTTACTGATCAATACCAGTGAAACTTTACCTGATACTGAAATCTATGGCTTTTAAAACTAATTTGGTCTACACGTTATCACAAGTTGGAGTATCCAACTGGTATTTTCAGCTGTGCAGTTGGGGTTGATGGTGCTAAATGCAGGTGGAAAGCATTTGAAATGGCGAAGAAATCACAGTTTTTCAGAGAAGCACAACCTTAAACAAAAAGACATAAAATAAGTTTTGTTCTTTGTGTAATGTACAGTAAAGGCCATCTTACCTGTATCATGGACATGAGAGGAGAATATCTGTGTCTTTAGTTTTTTTCTTTTGTGAGATTAGCTAGACTACACATAGGGATGTACCTTTTTGACAAGCTTTAATTTATTTCTTTTGAGCACTCTAAAAATAAATGTCTTGGCCTAAAAAAAATAAAAATCTGTTTCCATCAGCCATTTTGAGTTATGACACACAAACAGATGTAGGATGGCTAAATTAGGCTGCGAAATATGACTAGCGATTGGTATCTTGAACGTTGCTGTAAATGTGTGTCGTATTCCAAGATCTCTACGGTTAGCCTGTTGATTAAAATGTTAAGACTAATAGTAACTAGTAAAGAAAGACAGAGGTTGTTAAAAGCTGATATTTTACCTTAATACCTCTTTAACAGTGCGAGAGGGGGAGTGTGGACACACTTTTGGTAAAATGACTTGGTATTTCCTTCATTCTTTGCTGACATACCTTTTGAATTCACCCCTGACATTAAGACAGAAATGAGAAAGGAATGTAAACAGGAAAACAGAGAAAAGGAAATGAGTGTGCCATGCAATAAACTGAAAGACTGAATTCTATTGTAGAAACAGATATGAATGCAAAGGGAATAAATAACAGAAATATGGAGAGCTGGAGAGAAAGAGGCTGATCCATCAGGAAATTACAGGTATTAAAGGAATGTGCGGCCATCAGCCAGCAGGTGGAGATGAGCTAGAGCCTGAGGGCAGGTTGAGTTCAGGATGAAGGTGTCTTTGAAAAGCTGATACTGGATCAGCTTTTCCATTTTCCCCTATAAACCTGTGAGCAGTGAGAACAGGAGGAGCAGGACAGGACAGATTTACCTCTCAAGATCAAACTGGAATATGTATAGATTATCCATTATACTGACGCAAAATGAAAAGCAAATGCACACACAGTATGCTTTACTCAAAATATATTAATTCATTAAATGTTATTACATATGTATATGTTTTACATTCTGCAGGTTCTACATTTGAAGAAATAGAATTTCTTTCCTTTTATCTATTTTACAATCATCAGCCATGACTTTTTTAGACACATCAACAAAACTGAAGTCAAGGCTCAAAACCTTGGTTAGCATTGAAATATATCTGCACAGACATTACAACAGTGTAGATCAGTTCCTACTATCACTGACATGTACTTACTGGTTAAAATACCTCTACTCTGAACCATGAAACTGTTATGTCACGGTACTGTTGAGTGCTTTGAGTAAAGATTCTCTGTATATAAGAGAAATACCCAGAAAAGCTGGTTCTTAAAGAGTTAAAACTATGATAAAGCAGGAATTTTCAGGCCTTAGCGGGTCATCCTTTGCCAGCCTGAGGTCCTTCCTTTGTGCATGCCAAAGAAAGGGAGTGAGTGCTCTTCCTGCTGAATATGAATCCAGTATGGACAGCCGCATGAACTGAAATGAGTCTGAGCAAAGACATGAAAAATGCCTGCGGGCAAATAAAGCTGTATTCTGCTTTCATCCTCATTCCAAATGTTCAATAAACACAGGGTTTTGTATTATTTGGACAACTTTTATAAAGCGTGTTTGCACTTGCAGGGTCTGGAGTCTATGGAGTTTGAGGTTTGATTATTTATTCAAGGTTCTTGCAAATTAAGGGAAATTGTGTGAGATAAATCAAGTCATAAATGCACTAGGTGTGTGCAGGATGTATTTGAATGTAAAGACACAGTGTCACTTAAAACCTTTTGCTTAAATAATGGAAAAGTGTTAATATAAGCTTTGGCTGCTGTCTGTATGGACAAATAAAAGAGTTTTCACAATGAAAGCTGCAGTAGGCAACCTTTATAAAAATAAAAGTGTTCACTGTATTCTGACAGTAGTACATCAGACGGATAATCTTTGAAACCTGTTTCCCATAGCTCCTCATAGAATTAGCAAGAATCCAACGGGCCTGGACAAAAACAACCAATAAGAACTGTGAAAGATATAAAGACAGTTTGGGTTTGTGGCTTGAAGATAGTTGATAGTCTTATTCCCAGAGTCTATATATTAGTATTTGACTCCCTGGGAATGACACTCAGCAATCCACTATCGTTCTTGGCTCTGATTGGTTGTTTTTGTTCAGGCTTGTGAAGGCTATTAGGAGCACCACAACAAACCAGAGGAACCTGATTTTTCACAGATTATCTGTCTCATGTTCTACTGTCAGGATATAGTGAAAGTTTCAGCAAATATGACCAAAGGTTATTTTTATAAAAGCTCCCTACTGCAGCTTTAAAGGTACCTAATACTACAATGGCTGTCGCAATAAATTAAGCATAATGTACATTTAAAAAGTTTTAATATATCAGTTCAGCATAGTCATGTACAACTCTCATTGCTGTTGAACAGAAGTGCTGATTTTATTCGTTCTAAAATGCAAAGCTAAGTTACTGCAGATGTTTCACAATAAAACCTCTTCCTCCCTTAAAGGGCTTTTAATGTGAAACAGGTGGAGGGAGTATCTGTTTTTTTACTAATGTAACGGGAGCAACAGTAAACCAACACTAACAAATAGGTAGAATATATATATTACATTCATAGTAATACAGACAAAAGGGAAATTTAATAAAGCCCTGTCTCTAATAAAAGCCTTTCTCAAAGGGGTAAATAAAGGCCTCACCCTCTGATTACATATTCAGATGCATAAATTATTAATTTAACTCAAATGTTTGCAAACACAAGAGCTCCTGTGTTTATAAACATCACTTATGTAATCAAACAGCATCGTAAACCATGAATAATAATGATTTATTGTTGTATGAGTCACAGCTCTACCTGTCAATCAAATTGCGGATAGGTGCTTCCAAGTTTTAAATGTTTGTGGTGGGAACTACTTGTTTGTTTATATTTGGATTGCTAATAGTAATTTTATTCATACCTTTATTCTGAATTGCACATTGGGAAATAATTAATTAAATAATTATGGAATATGGACTTGCATTACATTACCTAGTAGGTCAAATCAATCAAAAGTGACATCATAGAAACAAATAAATTTATAACAAAAAGGTCAGGAGTCACAAATGTTTTAGCACAAATATAGAAATTTATTTCTGAAAAGGAAATACACAACTGACGTGGTGCATGTCAGCAAAACACACCTTCAAGTGAAACAAAATGCTGGGGTACAGACCTTTTCTTTACCGTGAGAAAAAAAGTGTCAGAAAAGAAAAATCTCAATTCCAGCCACACATACTGTACACAATTGCACTTGTGGAAACAAGCAAATAAAAACATTGGGTCTTTGCATCAATCCTTTTCTTGACATACCGTAACCACAGAAATTTCCAAACTTCTTCCCTGTTTGAGACAACCAATCACATGCAGAGTCTCTCTTGTGACACATTTGTCAATAGCAGCTCAGTTCCTTTACAAACTTACTTCAAAATTACATCATCCAAACACTTTTCATCAGACAAACATTGTGCAATTTACATGGAGGGAAAGAAAGGGCTGCATGACTCAAATTTTAAAAATGAAGGCCATTTTGAATCATGTTAAATTATTTTCTCCTTGAAGGTGCAAAAGCTTAGTGTGCATTTTTCATTAGAAATGAATCAGCTGTTTGTAGAGAAGCGTTTTGTCGCCATGCACTCCCCATACTTTCCCTTCAATATGAAGGACTTAATCAGCTCCATTTCCACTTCTTCAGTTTACAGACATCACATTGAGAGGGACATCTCAATCAGTGCATATTTAACAGTCTGTATCTTAGTGGGCAGGAACTCTGAGAAGGCACATGAATATTTTACAGAAGAGGAATATGTGAAACGTGATACATTTCCCCAATTTATCCCTCGTCCACAGACCACAGATCTTTCAGGCCAAATGACCACGTTACAGCAAAGAGCACATTACAGTTAGGTTTCTGTCTGGTTTGTGCACACACTAAAACAGGCAAGGTTTATTTGCTTCAGTTTAGTTTCTGGCTGAGAGCCAGTCTAAACTGAGACCAGCAGTTGGATTTGTACTGAATGCCCTGTCAGTGTCTGTTATCTTATTTCAATGCAATTTCAGCAAACATCCAGATGTTTTCACCAGTAAGGCACAGTGTTATCAATCTGACCCCAGCTCTGCCAGCCAGGAAAGAGTCCGCTAGACATGCGTGGGCTGCCAAACTGATCAAACTCCATCTCCAGCACCTTCACGCCCCCGTTTTTGTGCTCTGAAGGCTTCTTCTGATCAACAGAAGTTGGGGGCGTCTGAATGTTCAGGTCCTCTCCGTTCCAGCCAGCGTGCTTGATAACATAGTTCTTGCCGTCATTATTGTCCCAGAATGTCTGGTCCTTGACTTTGAAGCAGATGCAGAACTCAACCCGATTCTGCGGTGGGATGTACGTGGGGAGCTCCAGGACGAATGCAAATGTGTCAGTATCCTGACAGCTATAGACGTTGTTCATGAACGTGCACTCGACGTCGGTGTAGCTGGCCCATGAGTCGAAGGTGGCACGCAGCTGCACCGACTTCTCAAAGGCCATGTTCCGGACCTTGATGGTGCCAGTCAGCGAGCGCTCTTGCAGCGAGCAGTTCTCCAAGCAGACTGAGTTCTGGATCAGGCGGTTCCGGAAATCTAGGTAGTCAGCTGAGGGCTGTTTAAAGTCCAGCACCAGGTTGCGCACCGAGCTGATCTTTAGATCCATCGTGGCCGTTTCCAGGTCTGTCATGTCAAACTGCAGCTCCTCTGAGATTCCCCCACAATGCTTGTTTCGATACGGCTCATCGTCAAACTTGGAGAAGATGTGGATGGCAGTGAGCGACATGCCCTTCGTGTCTGCGAACACCACCTTCTTCTTGCCAACCTTGTTGTTGTTCCAGCCAATGCAGCCGCCATCGTCTAATGCTTTCTGCTGGTTGCTGAGGCAGGGCCGCAGGGGTTTGTAGAGCTGTTGGTTGTGGCTGCGGGTGGTGGACTGGTTGACCCGGTTCTTGGCCCGCTGAAGGTCCTCGTAGGAACTGAGGAAACCTCGTAGAGGAGGCGGAGAGTGGCTGATGTAGAATCTCATGGCCACATCCATTGGCATTACTGGGCCAGGCATTGCTGATGGACTGAAGGAACTGAGCACACTGAGGGAGAGGGGAAGAGGAGGAAATTGTGAGAAAATGGGAGGTGGAAAGAGAAAAAGACAGGGAGAGATTAGAACAGTGGTTACTGTATGCAGTTTTTTAAAGGAAGCAATTTAAAAAAAGTTTGTTGAAACTTGTCACTTCTGTAATCAGCTAAACACTAATTTCTGAAAATGAAAAGTACCCATCTCACAAATTATGCCTCCGATTTTATAACACCTCAGCTTTACAAATCAAATTTAAACTGTAATTAGAATCCAAAAGCATTCACGCAAAAAAGTAATACAGATGGTTCAATTTCGGCATGCGTCACTTTTGCAAAACCTAAATCAAACCCTTCTATGAGCCTTACCTTGCAGCACTCATGGAATAAGGAAATTAACAGTTCCAAGGAGAAAACTACAAGCTTTTTAAAGTTTTTAAGTCCCTTTGACTTTTGAATTCTACAGAGCAGCTTCTTCTAAAAGTTCATGCCTTCGTCACTCCCCCTTTTCTTCCACCTCTCTCTTGCTCTCGTCCTGCCTTTCAGTGCCGGGGTTGCTCAGCACTTTTCAACTGCCACATACAGACAATTTGCATACGCTGTCATATGGTTCCTCAAACAACCAATGAAAAGTCAGTGGACTTACTCGCCAACCAATCAGTGTAAACTTGACCTGGCTGCCGGCCAGCTGATAGGGGAGTGTCGCCTGCATGTGCCTCATGGTTGGGATGCCTCAGCCTTTTGCCTCAGCTTCTATTTGAGAAACATGATGGACCCCTGCTGGTGTTACAGAAGATCTTTAGATTACTCACTGCAGAGTGCTGCATAAACTCTGGCTCTTTCCTGACATGATCCCCATAACATACCACAGCAGGATTATTTTTACAGTGACTTTATGGAAGTGAAAATGTTATCCATTGAAAAGATGATTTAACATGTTCTAAAAAGGGTTCCTGAAGAGACAATTCAACTCAAATTCAATGTGAGGTCTAGACTGTTCTCTTAGCACTATCAAACATTTATTTAAAAAAGAAACCGAGATGGCTTTAAGGGAAGAAATATGTTTTGAAAAAAAATCCAGAAATCACAATATGTCTATTTTTCACATTTTCAGGCGGTTGAATAATGAGGGTCATGACTTGATCTGATGTAATTTATCTGATGGCTTTTTAACACCTAAATTAAATAATTAATGTCAATGTGAACTTTTCTTCTCTTGTCTTTCGAGTTACAAGGATGTCAACGCAGATCAGACCAAAATACGTTTGATATGAGAAAACACTTCTAAATTAGTGGTTACTGAAGACTTTAATACTTAGATTAAAACTTAATTAAAAAGTTTTCAAGATGTTAAGTAAAAAAATAAAATTTTTTAGAACCCTTCGCTAGGTCACAGTTGTTGCTGTTTTGGCTTCTATACTGTTGACAGGGATGCTATTTTTAAAGCTTATTTGCTTCATTGATTTTCAGTTGTGGGTTGAACATTAATCTCAAAAACATCAAGTGGATCAGAGTCAGCTTTATTTGGAGAAAGGAAGCCGATCCGGCAGGGATTTTTAACAACTTGTCAGAAATGGGTGAACTTAACTCTTCCTTTTTTTCCTTTAATTTCTACACCAGAAAACAATTCATTCAGTCTGACTGTGTAATATCAGCTGAGGGTCATCCTGACAACATCAAGAGGAGAAAGCCCTGTGTGTGTCCCCTAGAGGCTGTGCTGCTCTATACCAAAACTAGATCAAAGTGGGACTGACTGTTGTCTCTCATAATAAAAACTGTTCACAGGTCGGCAACCAACATCTGATTGATCTGTATTCAGTCCTATCTCACCTCACCACCTGTGTCTGCAGCCTCTTATTAGCTGCAGGAGAAATCCCTCATTTACCCAGTGAGTCTGTTTCAGGAATTTCTTTCAACTCAAATTTATTTCAGTGTCTTGTATTGTAGTTTTCTTTGAATTAGAGCCAGATACCGACTGCTATCTGACCTCTTCAAACCTCTAGGTCAGAGGGCAGGAGCACTCTTGTCCCTCCCAACACTGAAGGGTTTCCCCCCCTCAGCGATGCCTCTGTGTACCTCTCAATCATGCACAGGGAGACTTTAGACTCAACGTACCAAACATGCCACTTTCACATGGTCATAAAGACAACAGGCAGTATTTATCACAACCGTGTCTGCCTGTCTAAGGGTTACTGAGATCAATCTGGATCAATTGCCTCAGGATTGCATCAGAAAAAATATTTCCATAGCAGCATTTACAACCAAGTAAACTCAAACACTATAAAAGGTAAACAATAATAGCCTATTTTTTTTAAACTTTATTTCGTATGTTGTTCTATTACAGTAGAACCAGATATTTTTCTATGTTTGTAGCACTAAGGACTGCAAAAGTTCATTTTATTATACAGTCTTGTGTTGTATAATGATAAATGAATTTCCTTGATGCCTTGATATATAAATTAAGTAAATATTATGGTTTATAAAGATACCTTATTTGACAATTTTATTAGGAACAATATATATCAAACTTAGATATTCAGATGTAGTTTTACATATAATTAGATTTTATTTTACCTCTTACATAGTTTGTTTTTTAACACATATTTTTGTTTGTGACATAAAAAAAATATATAAACCGCCTGCTTTTGGCTGAAATTTGGTTGACTTTGTGGACATTTAGTCCTCTCTGCGAGCATCGACCGTTGATTTTGGTGCTGATGCACTAAAGAGATTTTCAATATTGGAGGTTCACTCTCTCTCGGCTCTAACTATCATGCAGTGTCCATGTGATCACACCAAGGTTAGAAGTCTGGCATTAGAAAACAAAAGTTAAGTAAACTAAAATCTCACAGAGGAAACAATGACCATATGAAAGTTATGAAACAAAGGGGTGACAAGGTGTTACTTCACTGCTGGTTGCAGTTTTGTTGTCATGGCTTTTTATCAGAAATAGTGTTGCTCAAGACATTTACAAAAAGGGAATTATTTAAAAGCAACAATTCAACTATCCATGGGGCTATTAATGGTTTTGCAATTACCAGATGAAGTGTTTAATCTATAAAATGTCCGAACGTAGTGAAAATGCGAATCAATGCTGCTTATAGCTGGAACCAGAGAGTGGGGGGTATTTTGGCTTAATAAATATAAAAAATGTTGTTAATTTATTGACTGATTAATTATCAGTCAATTAATTAACCACTGTTGTTGAGTTTAGCAAGGGTCATAGACGGCCTGAGTCCCATCATACACTCGACAAAAAGCAGGTAAACAGCCGGCACAGACTGCCATGTCATCACAGAAAAAATAACATTAATCATTAATATTTATAATAACAAATCTAAATTAACAGAGGATATGTATGTATAAAAGCCTTAAGCACAAGCTATATTTCAGTCTGCTGGAGCTTTCCACATTTCATTTTATCTCTCTTTCTCTCCCTTATTGCAGTTTAAATTCAGTGACCTTTACTGGCACATCTGTGCTGCCTGTGTACACATTGCTAAATTCAGACCTAACAAACCGACATGATAAGCCATAAAAGTAAAGATTAGCAATATGATCAATATTTGTGTAATTACTGTTACATCACTGCGACAGGAAAAATACAACAATGTCTGCAAAAACTATTATTAGTATAGTATATTATAATATACTATATTTTCTTCCACTATCTCAAAGCAATGACTTTGAAGATTTAGTTGCATTCTCGTAAATCGTGTCATGCTGTCATCTTCTAAATCAAAAGTATATTCATAATAAGATATATTATCCAATTAATTTGATACTTCACATTTGCTGACAATACTTACTAAAATTTTGAATGCTGTTTTCTCTTTGTAATGGTGCTGTAGTGTGTATATTGTGGCATTGCTATTGTTTGTGCGACCAGGGTTCAAGATTTCACTGTTTTGTTCTTGGGAACAATCTAATATGGGAATCCACTGCAGAAAAGACCATTCCTGTGCAAACATGACAGTACATTTTCTCCTTTGCAGTCTGTTTGGAAATTTCAGCATTACAACAGAAACCCAACCTGATGTGAGGATGACAGGAAGGTTGTGACACTTTTGGTAACAGAGAGAGAGAGAGAGACAGAGAGACTTGTGACACGGCTGGCTCCTGTGTATTTTCCGGCCTGCCAGTTGGCACAGTTGCTGCAGTGACCGCGCGATGGCCTGCAGATGAAAGAGATCAGGAGAGGTTATCAGGCACTGTGATTGGCTGACAGCTGCCACATGACTTGGATTTCTCTTCAGATGTTGACAGCTCTGAGGTTATGTATGACTCTATATCCCACAAGCACTTAGATCTAGCAGAGCAGAGATATAATATCAGGCATACCTGTTAGAATAAAAATATCATGATGGGTTATTTCATGTCATCTTCATTTATTCAGGTCATTAGAATGAGCGTAATGAAGATCCAGTCACCAGCATCAGTTTTAAAGGTGCATATTTATTTTTTTTAGATAGTTGTTTTGGAGACATTAATTGTGTTAATTGCAGTGTTTGGCTAACTCTTTACCCTGCGTACCACCTCAGAAAATATCAGGCTCTCCAAGTACCACCATTATAAGCGACGGTAAAGTACAGCAGTGTAGGCCGACCCTATTCAGTTCAAGTTCTTGCAGGTGGCAGGTTTCTTCCTAATAAGAAGATTATTTATTATTGACTGCCGTGAATCATGAATGGAACCAGTTCAAGAACCAGAGCTAATTTGGTGGAAAAGGGGTACTCCTGGGGTGAGCTTCTGGAGTTCTAGCCCCTAGCCCCAGCTCAGCCAGACGATGCTGTGGGGCTGGGAGGCTGAAGCATTCAGAAAATGTGAGAAAACACCACTGATATACCTCCACTGCCTAGATGACATATTCGGCCTATGGAAATACTTGGAAGAAGGGATTTTCTAACATTCTTTGGTGTCCGGAACACAGACCTTTCCTTAAAGACACCTGACCCTAACCCACTTGAAAAGGAAGAGGGGGGGTTGGCACTTCACAGGCTGATATTAAATCAGGGTGTCATCGGACTTGGAATGCATTTACAGAATCACAGATAAAATTATTTTTTCTTAATAATACAGCATTTTTAAAATGAATATATCTGTCCATATCGCAGGCATCGACCTGGTTTTGCCTGTTTACTACTCAGTATTAAATTTGTCCTAACCCTATTGTTATGTAACCGGGTTGCTCTACCTCATTTATCAATATTACACACCTACATTTCTTCACCTCTCAACAAGAGGGTTCGCCTTAAAAGCAAATGGATACAAAGACGTATGCATATACAAATATAAATACAATTTTAATTCTTTTTCAATATAGTTTTAAAGCAATTCATTTTTTTATGCAATCCTTTTAAACATAATTATCACCATATTCCACAAAAACAGAATCTTGAGAGAAAATGAGAGCAGCAGTAAGTGTGGGAGAGGCTGCAGCTAAAAGCAGCAGGGGTTACTGCAGGGCAAGTGACCTGCCAACTCTATGCAAGACACCACACACTGCAAACAGGAAGAACAGTAAACTAGTTAGATATAAACTAGTAACAAATTACAAAAGAAAAG